AGAAAGAAAATGGTTATTCTTGCAAACCTTCCTGTTTACTTACTATCCGCTGTAGGCACCCTAATAAATGGCCTTGTGTTTAACACTTATAAAGAGGCCATTCAAGGGACCTCTTAGAGGTCTGTGAAGATCAAACTCCAGGCATGTGTTAGGTAATGGCTGTGTTCGCATAGCCTGCTTTGTGTGGCAGCTGATAACATTGTAACTAACCATACTATGACAGAAATATGCCTGAGGAAACAGGCGAAATGGTTTTGTGGGTTGTTTCAAATTACTAACCCTGGGGGAATTTTAAGAATTCTAGTTAAATATTGAAGGACACGTGAGTTGGACTCTTTAATTGTTCTGGTGCCACGAGAATGCTGGGAAAATTGATTCTTAAACAATGTCATTCTTTGCTTTTTAATAACATTTCCCAAACATATTCCAGTGTCATAATCTCTGGTAAAGACAATAGAACAGCTAAAGTTACTGTCATGCTATGTTTTGGAGTGATATTGTAGTCTTGATAGTCCAGGACATGTGGAAGAGACACTGATTTTTGCAGGTGATATTTTTTACTGGACCAACAGCATGGTTAGGATAGACTCAGACAAGCTTTCAAATGTCATGCATTTTTGCTTGTGTTGTGTTCTAGTAGCGCATAACACTACCATCCCCCTCTGTGTTCGGTGCTGTGCAAGAATATAACAAGATAGTCTCTGACTGCAAAAGATTAGGCAAATAAAGTCAAAGCAGACCAAAAAGGGAAAATGCCACGACCCCATGAGCCACTTCCAAGTTTGTAGTCCTTTCTGAATCCCAAGATAGGATCTGCAGAAGAAACGAAACTGTCACAAGAAAGTTTGAAGAGACAGAAGGTTTCTTCTACCAACAAAAAAGGCATACCGAGCCAGCCTGTGCTTTGTCACGTCCATCTTGATAAAAGGAGCAGGAAGGCCAAACATCTTAGTTACCATCCCTAGTTCAGCCATGAAATTATTCCCTCTCCTACACATACAGAGGACTGGCCTAATAGGGAATAAGGAAAAGAACAAACAAATATTTTAGTGTTGCTTCTAGCAACACATTGATTCCATAATTCGCCTTTTCAGCGTGGGAAGCTGTACTAACAGCAGCAGCACCCTCAGGACTGCAAGGGGCAGAGAGTAGGGGAGCCGCTCTGAAGAGAATACAAGGAACATAGCTGTCAATTGGCTCTCCCAGCCAAACCTATGAAAGGCACATTCAACAGAAGAAAGAAGAGTGTGAACATAACTGCAAGCAGGGTGAGGGGACGCCTGCCTCTCAAAAGCCATTGCCAAGCAGGCATAGAACCATAATATCCATGGCTCCTCTCCAGCTTTCAGATTACTTACGGGGGAAGGCCCTGGAGTGGTGCTAGCTGACAGGAATGTTCCATGCAACCCACCCCCATCTCAGAGCAGACAAGGAGTTGAAAGAAGAACCCCTCTTCTCAGCAGGGTAACCAGGATTTTTCTCTTGCAACTTCAGCAAAAGGGCTGAGGACATTCCCAAAGGAAAAAACAAGATAAAGTTAAAATCATAAATACAAGCTGATATTTTGAGGGCTAAATAAAGCTGTTTGACAGATTTATAGCAAAACTTTTCTGATGGTAAACTGGGTTTTCAGCAAAATGATTTGGGAGGGGTTTGTGAAATATGTCTGATTTTCCTGGAAAATTGCAATAATACTTTGGTTTTCTGCTATTTTACCCCCAAAACTAGTTTGGTTGAAATGTTCCAAAGGAAACAAACCTTTTCTGACTAGGTGGAGGTGGATCCTCCCTGCCGCACCCACCACATCTCCTTCCTTTACAGCCCCTGTCTCTGCCTCCCTCCACCAGAGTCTGGCATCTCTCTGTTCCTCCCCTACATGGCAGTCCAAGACTTTCTACCCCTCTTTTCCCTAGTTGTCATTT